ACATGATGTTGTAGATTGTAGCAGGTGTAGAACAACGATCTAAGTTGATTGAGTGACTGGTGTCTTTGACTACTTGGAGATTAGAAATTGTCTTTCTATTTAATTCTTAAAACAAGCTAACGTGTCAACCCAATTTAGACAGATAGTCTTCGCTAGTTATAAATTCCGACCATCCTATGAATAGATTTCGATATGCATTTTGCCAACAAAAATCGAACGTTAGAATTATTATGGATGAAACCACTTTTAAGATTGAAAATGTTTAGAAGGAAGAAAATATGAAAGTAGAAATTAGATTTCAAACATATATATATATATATATATATATATATATATATATATATATATATATATATATATATATATATATATATATATATATATATATATAAGAGTTTGACATCTTAGATTGTTCTAGAATCAAACATAATGATAGTTTTCAAACCTCATTCTATACTTGGAATCTAATTTTAGCTTTCATATTTTTCCATTATTTGATACATAATAATTCATATGTTTGATTTTTGTTGGTAAAATATATATCAAAATCTATTTACATGATGCTTGAAGATTGTAGCAGGTGAAGACCAAAGGGTCTAAACTAGATTGTCATCTTAGCATGTTTAAGAATCGAATAGAAAAACAACTTTGAAATTTCAAACGGTCTAAGATACCAAATCAACTTAGAGTGTTCACCTCTTTAACATTCAAGGATTTTGTAAATAGATTTTGATATTTATATCTCTTTGTTTTGAAAAGAAAAATCAAATATCTTGTTATTTTAATATTGAAAACTGCCATAAACATCATAAATAACAGCATGAAAAACAGATTGGTTATTAACAAAAGCAAAAAGGTTGGCCCAATCAAAAAAGTTGCCAAACATGAGAGTTTTTTTCGTGAAAAAAAAGTTAATTTTTATTTTTTTATTTTTTTTATGTAAGATAACCAGTTAAAAAGGTCAAATCGAAAAAAAAAATGTAATGACTTGTCTAAAAAAAATAGCGTTGTAGGTTAATCCGAAGGAAAAAAACCTAGTACATAAAATGTTTTTTTTGTAATTAACCTAATTATATTATAATACTTAAAAAAGCGACCATTTCATAACTTTCATTTGATAATTTTAATAACTTTCATTTGATAATTTTAATAATTTTAATGAATATCCTAAAAACTACTAGGTGATTTTATTTTTATTTCAATTAAGGATGAAATAAAAAATGAAAAAATAGTATCAAAATTCGTCGAATGCTGACTTGTCATTAAAACCATCAAATGATGATTGCTTTTAACTTTTGACTCCTAGGTACCAATTAGTGTTTTCTTACCAAAATTCTAATAATATTTTCTTCTTTGTTCTACTCACGTCAATTCAGGAGAACTTATAATCATATATTTATTAGGAACAGGACCTACAAAACAAAAATCATAAGCCGTGCAGAGATACGCAGTCACGGAATTAATTTGTTTCTTTGTATAAATAGAACCGTTGTTCTAGTAGGCTCTTACAGTCTTACTCTTATTAAAAAGGTAAAAGTATTATTTTTAACAATAGGAAAAGAAAAACATAATCATACAACTAGCCTTCCATCTCATGTAGAATTAATTCTACAAACAACGAAGCCAAAGATATGTTCTTGATGAAGTTTAGGGTTTAGAAGATGCATAAGGCCAATAAAGATGAAACTCAATCTTGTACGTAACAGTCAAACCTACAAGATTGACCGGAGATGATGTGACATAACCTTGAACAAACAAAAAGTCACCTGTGCCTCCGACAACAGGGTGATTTGCATGCTTGGTGTTATGCGTGACCCCAACAATGGATATAGACCCTTTGCGTTTCTTCACATTCAAAGCGATTGAGGCAATAGAGATGCTTTGAAGCCCATCTAGTCCTGAAGTGATCGAGGTTCCTTGAGCCATTCCAACTACTTTGGAAGTATAGTTTGGTTTAAGAGTTAAGGGATCCTGAAAAGCAAACAGCGTCCCAAACGGAGTGGTGGTTTGGCTTACAGGTGGACCAGCCACTCCATTAACAATGATGTAACCGGTTTTGTTTATGGTTTCATGTTGGAAAAGTGCAAAATGGAGAGATTTGAGTCCATTATGGTTGTGGTGGTGGTGGTGGTTGTGGTGGTGGGAGGTGACCTCAAGTGGAGGGAGAGCAAAGAGAAGAATGGTAACAATTGAGTAAAAATGCACGAAGGAAGACATTGCAAAATGAAAATGTGAAAGACCATGGTAAGATCAACATATATAATGAAAGACCAAGACTTTATGACAAAAGAAGATAACGTGTAGATCTGTCTTGAATGGACTACTAGTCAATGCCAATTTGCCTAGGTTGTTGGTGTGTCTTTCTCATCATAGGACCTGATGAAAACAATTTAATTGCAAATTTGAACACCGAAAATATGGTAAACAAGTATTGTATCATTATTATAAAGTATATTTTCTTATATGTTACAAGTACGAGTACGAGATAGAACATATGATTTCAAACATCGTTTAGTAAAAGAGACGAATAAAGTAATAATTATCATTATCAAAAATAAATTAGTGGTAATCATTTGAGATTTGAACATTTTAAATAGAGTGATTCATGTTTGATTCCTATAATTCTACAGGCTTTAATTAACTTTGGTTGTTCAGATATTCTAAAAAACTAATAAATTAATACATAAAATATCAAACTAATGCATTTTCTATAAACACCGCCTTTCCATGCAATGACTAGCAGTTGAAGGTGTATTTACGTACAGGTTAAAAAGCTTAGGGTGTTTTCTGAAGTTAACCCATTTATATTTTTTGGTTGGTTGGTAGGTGTCATGATCAACCTCTTCTTTCTAACTTCACAGTAGAGATCCTCGCTTCAATAAATTGGAAAATGACTTGTACATTTTCGACTGTTTATGTTTAGGTATTTTTTTTTATATGTGTGATAATTTAATTTGTTAAATGTTTTTAATATTGTAAAACTAATCGAGTTGGCTGATTACTCATCCGAGTACTTTCTACTCGGCTTCTTACCGAGACGAGTTATAGAATACAAGTACTTCCCAATCAGCCTCTTGACCAACTCGGTGATTAATATGTATAATATACTTAATTATTTATTATTCAATACACATACATGTGACTATATATATATATATATATATATATATATATATATATATATATATATATATATATTAAATTTTCAGCAATTATTCACGAAATGAAACTATTGTGTGTTTTTTCATTTTTATGTATTCACATATATGTAATTTGTTATATATTTATAATTCGACATGAACTGTCGAATCCGAGTAGTCACCGAATACTCTCGAGCTCGTTACTCGGTAGTCAGGCTGAACAGCTACCGAGTAGCGAGTTCTACAACAATGATGTGTTAACATATTACCATTATTACCTGTTATAGCAGGTGGCAATGGTAATATGTGAATACATTTAACAAGTTAAATGATCAAATGTGTATAAATTTTTTAATTTTGTTTTTTTTAATAATTTCTTCTAACATTTTTATGATATTTTTTTCCTATGGGTTTTCCTAATATAATTTTTTAAACTTTGTTAATATTTTTTTTGATTTTTTTTGTACTTTCATATAATTTTAAAACAAATGCTTTTAAACCAAGTATTTTATAAATGTTTTAAAATTTTCTTACAAGTATTTAACTTGTTTTTGTTTTTCACTCAATTTTTTGTATAAATTTCATACATTTACTTCTAAACTTTCTTTTACAACATTTTAAAAGTGTTTAACACATTTTATATGATAATTTATTTCTTTTAATAAAAATTTAAAACATGGGTGACGTAGTGGTTATTTTTTATTTTGGGATTTTTCTTATTTAACATTTTGTGGGTGAGTTTAAAGAACCGTTGTTAATTTTATGAATTTTAAGACTATGAATTTCCGATTTAGATTACCCTTCGTGGAATTTCTTTAATCACAAAGACTTCAAAAAAATCAATATTTGTGAATTTTTATTTATCACTATGATTTGTTTCATAAAACTGATTTGGTTTTGAAAGAAGAGAATCTCAACATTTGATGGCAACATAGTCATTCTTTAAGAGGATGCAAAAATATTTGATATAGAATAACTTTTTAAAATAAAAAAAATCATACTCCAAGAAAAAAAAAAAGATTGGAGAGGTGGTGGATTAAATGAAATCAACAACCAATAAAATGGAGTTTTTGACCATAATGGTTCTTGAAAAAAGTATTTATCATTTTAATGTTTTTTCAAAAGTATTTATCATTTTAGTTTTTTTTTTTTTAGATTCCTTTTCAGTTTTTTTGTTATTTTAAATATCTTATTTTTCTTTTTTACTCTCTCTCTCTCTCTCTCTATATATATATATATATATATATATATATATATATATTATATATATATATATATATATATATATATATATATATATATATATATATATATATATATATGACAGCTTTCATTTTAGTTTTTTTTACCCTTTTTTATTGTTTTTTAAAATAAATGTTTTTTTCATCTTTTTTTTCCTTTTTTTTTAATATTCATTTTTCTTATACAACATTTTTACCAACAAATTTTAGCCTCAACATTAAAAAATCATCAAAAAACACTTCTACAATCAAATTTTAATGCGCAAAAATTCCAACATTCACATATAATGTTTTTAAAATGAAAAAAAAGACACCTCAACATTGTTTCTTACAAAAAGAACACCACAAAAAGAAAAAAAAAACTCCAACATTGTTTCTTACAAAAAGAATAGCACAAAAAGAAAAAAAAACTCCAATATTGTTTATTACAAAAAGAAAATCATCACAATTAGCTTCACCTTGAATCGGTAAAAAATCAGTACCTATAAAAAAAAAGAAAAAAAAAATAAGAGAATAACCACAACAAATACCATAAAAATTATATATATATATATATATATATATATATATATATATATATATATATATATATATATATATATATATATATATATATAAATTAACTTGGCATAGACGGACATCGTTTTCGATTATGTCCCGGTTGCCTACAAATTCCACAAAGATTGACATTTCTTCCTTCTTTAATATCCATGCCATTTTTTAGTCTTGTTGAACGAGGACGACCTTTTTTATTTCGTAATAGTTCTAAATTTGGAAGTAATTCATTAAATGGTGATTGTGGCGAATACGCTTCATGAGGAAGCGGGGAGAACTCAGATGCCCAAGTAGCATAATAATATTCAATTGAGTAACATCTATCAACGTATTGCCAACTATTCAAAGAGAGTTTGGCACATGCACTCAAGACATGAGAACAAGGATATTTAAATGCCTCCCATTTACCACATGTGCAAGTTTTTTGTTCCAAATTAACTACTTGCACATTTCGACCTCTTTGAGTTATCAACTCAAATATACCTTTTTCTCGGCTAAAAGATCTTAAGGAATGTGCACTTGCTTTTGCCATCAAAGCTACTTGTTTTACAACAACATGTGGAGTATGTGTATCTCCATGAGCTTGAGAACTAGATCCTAAAGGACGTCTCACCTCAAAATAATGCACCATTCTATAGAATGTAAGTTGCACACAAGCTATGATTGGTAAGAAACGAGCACCTTTAAGTACACTGTTGAAAATCTCTGACAAATTTGTTGTGAGCAACCAATATCTCCTTCTACCATCCTGTGCAAGTGTCCATCTAATAAGTGGATGACTCACCAACCATTGTCGAGCACATGGATTTAACTTCCTAATTTCTTCCATGATGGAGTTGAACTTTCGAATTTGATTCTGACTCCTGGCACGGTAAGCTAAAGCTTTCAATTCTGAATTACGAAACTTGTCATAAAAGTTGTTGATGAAATATCGTAAACAATACCTTTAAAATTAAAAAAATAATAATAATGTAAGTTAATGAAGCAAGTTGTTGAAATGTCCTAAAAGAATAGTTAAGAAATATAACAATACCTATGAAAACCACGTGGCTCTAACCATGGAGATCCATGCTCATTGATAGCCTTAAGAATTCCACCATGACGATCAGATATTAGGCATATGCCTTCACGGTCTTTCACCACATGATTCTTGACATGAGAAAGGAACCAATCCCAAGTATCATAAGATTCATTTTCTACAATAGCAAATGCAAGTGGCAAAATTTGATTATTGCCATCAACTCCCATTGCAATTAGCATCTTACCCTTGTATTTACCATGCAAGTGTGTGCCATCAATACTAATCACCGGTCGACAATAGTGAAACCCTTTGATAGAGGGAGCAAAAGCCCAAAAAACACGCCTAAATTCAACTTCATCCACATTGTTCGATCTTGAAACACACCATTCAACTATAGTTTCTGGATTGAACTTTTGAAGTGCACCTAGATATTTTGGTAAAGCGACATAAAACTCTTCCCAGTTTCCAAACACATGTTCAATTGCTTTTTGCTTTCCAACCCAAACCTTCTTATATGAAGGAGTATAGCCCAAATTTTCAACTATTTCAGCTCTCAAAGCCGGAATACTGATAGAAGGTTGCTCTTTTATAAGGTGTCTAGTTTCCATAGCAATCAAGCTTGCATCTAGGTTCGGATGGTCTTGAGAAAGCTTATAGTGTAAACAAGTGTGCAGACCGGTATACGTTGTGATTTCAAAATAACCACTACGTTTACGTTTACTTGCATGAAGCTTCCATTTGCAACCTCATTGTAAGTACAACTTGCATCTTAGAGTCCAAATAGTTGGGCGTGACTCAATGACCTCAAATTGTCTATGTGTCCTAATGCTATGTATCTTGATTGCTCTAACAAGTTCCTCTTTATCCTTGAAAGAATCTTTTCCCAACTCTCGCGTAAAATCATTCTTACTCGTTGATTGTGTCATAATCCAATTTTCATCAATAGTCAAATTTGTTCCTTCCATATTAGTAAAAGTTGAGGGTAATTCAACATTATTGTCAAAAGATGTTTCATCATCATCTTCATCTCCAATTCCATCTTCCAATATTTCATTTAACTCAACATCATTGTCTATATTCATCAAATTAGTCACAACAGCAGCTTGAGAAATTATAGAAAAATTCTCATTGTCGATCATATCTATAATAGAATTCATCTACAAACAAACAAAAACAAGCAAAAATTGATCAAATGAATTTGTGATAACAAAAAAAAAACATAATGCAATCAATTACATCAAAGACTAAAAAAACAAGCTGTGAAGATGGGGAGGGAAAATCAAGACATAAATTGATCAAAACAATAATCAATTCCATTTACAAAAGCAAATAATCAAAATAGAAATTGATCAACAATTCTTCCTAACTAGAAGCAAAATTGAGATAAATAAGAATATAGAAGCAAAAAAAGCAAACATAAACTTAACAATTGGAATCCAAAAGCAAACAGAAAACTGAAGAATTGGAATCAAAATCGACAACTTCACATACCTTGTAGTTGTCGGCGACGATGGAGGAGGTGCAGCCAGCTGCCGACAGATGGAGGAGATGCAGCGGCCGGAGATGGTGGACGACGACAACACGATGAAACAGCGAGCCCTAGTTTGCGTTTGCGTTTACGATTTTTGTTTTTTTTTTTTTTTTTTTTTTTTTTTTTGTTGTTGTTGTTGTTCCAGCGTTCCAAACTTCAGGGAAAATCAAAACCGTGTTTTTTTTTAAACAATAATATTAGTATTAAAATTAAATAATACGATTTTGGTAAATACTTATGAGATAACACTAATATGGGAAATATTTTTTGTCATAGCACTATTATGGTTAAAAACTCCAATAAAATGTAGACTATATGGTAAGTGAATTGAATTAGTTGGGGTGACCAAACGCTTGTCCCTCCATTGGCTCTGCCATGTTTTTTCAATAATTTTGTTAAATAACAATTTAAAATGTTGTATTAAAAAATTAAAAATTTATAAATTTTTAATTAAAAAGTATTAAAAGGTTGAAATAATTTTAAAACATTCACCTTATATAGATTTTTTTTTGCTAATTAATATTTTCTTTTTATTTTTTTTAAAAGACCCTCCATACTTATTGTTATATATTTAATTTATTTGATTTTATTGTTAAATAGTATTTACTAAAATATTGTATATGCTTAAAAACAAAAGAAAACATATAAGAGGCTATATAAAATACTTTACAAAATAAAAACATATTTATTAATTAAAAAATAAAGTTTAAAATTGATCAATGTTTAATTAATATTTAGGAAATTATGGATATTTGAAAAATAACATTTGAAAACAATAATAAAAACAAATATGAAAAATAAAATCGCTATTAAAAGTGAGGAAAATAACTTATAAGGATAATTATTTTTTCGTTTTGTTCATATTTAGACAACTTTTTTTTTATTGTTAATATGTTTATCTATTACCATTGTCACCTGCTATAGCGGACGACAATAACAGTATGCGAATACATATAACAAGTTAAATGATCAAATGTGTAAAAAAAAATTTACCTAAATGTGAACAAAGCGATAAAACTGATTACCCTAGTAAATCATTTTCCCTCAATAAAATGTCACATATTTAGGTCCCGAACCTTTTCTACCATAATTTATATATATTTTTAAGACTTTAAAAATGAAAAAAACCATATTTTTTAGACAAAACCTCATAAATGCTCTCCGTGGTTTTATAAAATCTGAAGTTTCATCCCTATCTTTAAAAAACCTCATGGATGATCCCTGTGGTTTCAAAACTTTGAACAAAAGGTTCTTATTGATAACTCTGTTAAATTTTATCCGTTAAGTGAAGGGTATTTCCATCGTTTCACTATTACAGGGACCATTTATGAGTTTTTTTTGTTATTTTTAAAAAAATATTTTAATATACATGGGTCCTATCTCTCTTTCTCTCTCTCTCTCTCTCTCTCTCTCTCTCTCACTTTCTTCCTCTAATATACATCTTCTTCCTAAATGGTCTAACATGATGCACAAATCAAAAGAGTGAGAAAGCTTTAAGCTTTATACCTCCAAATTAAGCTCCTAACACAGATATACTTAGATCTATAGCCTGGACTCCCACTCCTTCTTCTCCAAGGATCCTTCTTCACTCCAAGAACACACAAGATCACTTAAAAGCTCTCAAATGGGCACACACAAGCTCAATGAACGAGGATTAGGGTTTGAGAGGGTTGTTTGTCTGAGGATGGTGGCTAGGAATGAAGCTATCATATCATTTATATAAGGACACACCCCAAATTAGGGTTTTCACTCTGGTCCTAGTACACCCAACTTACCATCTGGTATGCCCAATGTACTAGGTGGCTTCCGCGTTAATAACACGCACATGAGTACGTTGAGCGTACACTCGTGTACGCCTCGCGTACTCATTTACCACCTTTTTCTCTATAAGGGCTAAACTTGACAAGTACCAAAAGAACAAGGGTTTATAAGGTATACCTGGACTTGGGATGTTACAAATCACACTTGGAGAACTTGGCGTACAAGCTCTCCCTCCTCAGAGTATCCAACACCTCTTGCAAGTGCTCCTCATGCTGCTCCTGTATCTTGGAGTAAACCAATATTTCATCATTAAAGACGATCACAGACCGATCCGGCATCGATCTTCATACACGGTTCTTGAGGTCCATGAACATGACAGGAGCATTGGTGAGCACAAAGGGCATCACCACGAACTCGTAGTGGCCATAGCGAGTCCAGAAATCCTTCTTTTGTACATCCTCGTCTCAAACTTACATCTGGTGGTAGCCTGAATGCAAATCAATCTTGGAAAACCAAGATGTCCCCTGTAGCTGGTCGCAGAGATCATCAATCCTCGGGAGTGAGTAACGGTTCTTCACCGTTACCTTGTTCAGCTACAGATAGTCTATGCACATCCGATGCGACCCGTCCTTCTTCTTCACAAACAGGATCAGGGCTACCCAAGTCGAACTGCTCGATTTAATGAATCCCTTTTCTAACAGCTCCTGTAGCTTTGTAGAGAACTCCTGCATCTCGGGAAGAGCCAACCAATATGGTGCCTTGGCTATCGGAGCCGCACTAGGAACTAGGTCAATCATGAACTCCACCTTTTTCTCCGGAGGTATCCTAGACAACTCCTATGGAAATACATCCAAGTACTTCCGTACCACTGGTACATCACCCACAATCACCTTACTCACCTACTGGGTATCCATAACGTAGGCGGCATACCTTGCGCAACCCTGTTGATGGTAGCGCCTAGCCCTCACTGCTAAACACGTAGTTGGTCCGTGTTGCGGCCTCTTGCCTTGAATCACCAGCTCTCCCCCACTTGGGGTCCTGACATGTGCCAACTACTATGCACATTTGATCACCACACCATTAGGGCTCAGCTAATCCATGTCGATGATAACCTTGTTACCGTGCAACATAATGGGAACCAAATCCACTAGGTAGCGTCGGTCATACAACGTCAAAACATAATCTCTAAAAACCTCTGATGCCCGGACAAATCGGTTGTCAGCAATCTCGGCCTCTAAAGGGCAATCCAACATGCCCGAAGACTCAGAAAACCTCTTGCTAAGAGCAAGGGAGGCAAATGATGGGGTAGTCCCCAAGTCAAATAACACCTGTACTGGAATGTCGTTCACATGGAACGATCCTAACAAAATACATAAAACATAGAACATAAATAACATAAGTGAAATGTAATAAGAGTTAGGGAAAAGAAAACATATCTGTCACCACATCCGGTATGACACGCACCTCCACGACAGTCAACTGGAAGGCTCGACTCCTCACTATTGGAGCATCCGTCTTGCCCTGTCAGCCATCCGTGATCTGCAAGGTTGCTGGAGTTGGCGCCACCACTGGCGTTGTTGGGTATTAATCTCAGACTGTTGGCCTTTTTGTGGCCCTTCTGATTGCAATGAAAGCAAATCAGCTCTGATGTCTGAAGGGTGGGGAGTAGGGGTATTACAATCCTTACCAAAGTGCCGAAGCTTTCCACACTTATAGCTGCTCGATGGCCCTAGTCTACAAACCCCCTCATGTGTCTTGTCGTACTTCCCACAACGGCTATGGACCTGATGGCCCTTCAACCTAGTGTTGGATCCCTTGGGTTTCTTCCCCGAAACCCCAATCATCTGCCCAACCTCCACCTTCCTCTTCTGGTTGTGTTCTATATCAATCTCTCTCTCTCTCTCTCTCTCTCTCTCACCATGGCTATCATGTCCTCCAAAGTTAGGCATGCTGAGTAGCTGACATGTTTCCTGATGTCAGCTTTCAACATGTCATAGTACCGGGTCTTCCTCATCTCATCGTCCCCCGCATACTAAGGCACCAGTAAGGCCCTCTCCCTGAACTTGGTGGTAATCTCCGCCACCGGCTCAGTCGTCTGTCTCACGTCAAGAAACTCCCTGGACAACTTCTGAATCTCCACAGCTGGCGCAAACTCATCCCTAAACCTGGTCACAAAATTCGACCAAGTCATAGTCTCAATGGTTGGGGCTCCTAGAGAATCACTGACTACCTCCCACTAGTCTCTAGCTCTTTCCCTCAAACACCCTACAACATACTAGACCTTCGACTACTCAGGGCATAGGCTCATCAACTGTGCATACTCGATGTCTACAATCCATCTCCTGGCCACAGTGGGGTCCTTCACCTCGTGGAAGTCTGGCGGCACCACATCCCATGAGGTCCTTGAAGGAGAGTGTGCATGTCCCTGTCTGGCCAGATACTATGTCGCTCCTAAATGCCCTAACACACTCCTCCATTAGCTCAATGATTCCTTCTTTGATCGACTCGAAAATCATGGTGGTAGCCTCAAGGATTCCTCTCATAATCTCTTACGTAATGAACCCGCGTAACCCATAATCAACCGGTTCGGAACATGCACCTGAACCTGATCCCAACCCTGAACCTCCTCATTACAAGAAAAATACCTTTTAATGACGTGCGAACAATGACACTCACTGATTTACGATACTCATTTTTGTGTGTCCTTAAAAATAATGTCAACCTTCCAAAATTTGAAGAATAGAGGTCACGCACTTTTGCGTGCCTTAAAATTAATGTCCAACAAAAAAAATACAAACACGGAAGGCACTTGTTTTAAATGTGTGTCCTCTAGAATTGTCGCTTTATATATATTTTTTTTATCAAACGCGCGTTTTTAAAGGGCAAGAATTTTGAAGTGCCCGCTTCTTCAGTCTCTCCTCTGTATATCCCTTCATTTAGGGCCTTTTCAAGGAAATTCAAAACGCTATCCGACCCTCAATCGGTTCTCCCAGGCCTCTACAACAATCGAAACTAGTTTGATTTCTACCCTAAAACCTGGTACGACTTCTCCTAATCCTTTCTCCTAGGCCTCTTCGTAAATGTTTTTAATTTTTTTGAATTATTGATGTTATTTGTTTTTGTGTAATCTGAATGCTGAAGTTTCATGTTCGCGTGCTGAATTTCGTATTTTAGGTATACGATACTGACAATGCCAATCAGAAGGAGAAGTTTGAGGCCGACTTGAAGAAGGAGATTAAGAAACTTCAGAGGTACAAAAAAATGCTTTCTCTCTCTACCGTTTCTCTCTAATCGGCGGTGCGTTTTTTGCTTCGGTGAGATTTTTCGTCTCATTGGTGAAGTATCTTCTCATCATTTCCGTTGTTGCGATAGGTGCTTCTTCTAAGAAGGATCGATTGAAGGATGTAAAGGTTAAGCCTCCTGATAAAGGAGCGGTGGGTCGATTTGTGCGAACTGAGGTCGATTTAAGCGATGTTATTCCTCCTGGGGTTGTCGATCAGTCTTCGTCTTCTATCTATCGTGCCCGACGAAACCCAAATCATGGATCTTGGTCCTCTATCTATTCTCGATGTGGGTTCCTTCTTCTTTATCAAAAAAATTCAAGTGAGTAGAGAAGTGTGTAAATAATGATAGAATAACTACCGAGGAAAAATCCACCGATGATTGGCTTCCAGTGACATCCTCCAAAAACGCAAAGTGGTGGTACTCAGCCTTTCACAATGTCACCGCCATGGTTGGTGTCAGTGTCCTTAGTCTTCCTTACGCCCTATCTCAACCCGGATGGTATCACTTTTCCTTCAATCCAAGTCTTCTTTGTAAGATTCTTTTTTGGTTTAACCGATGCACAGAACATGTTCGATGAAAATCCACACACAAAATCCACTTTCATAATATAGAATCTGTTTGATTCAGGGGCTTTGGAATCACAGTACTAGTCCTATCCTGGGTGATTACACTCTACACACTATGGTAAATGGTGGAATAGCACAAAATGGTTCCAGGAAAAAGATTTGACAGATACCATGAGCTAGGGCAACATGCTTTCGGTGAAAAACTCGAGCTTTATGTTGTAGTCCCTCAACAGCTTATAGTGGAAGTAGGCACATGCATTGTCTACGTGGTGAATGGAGGAAAATCTCTACAGAAGTTTCAACAATCAATTTGCCTTGATTGTAAACCTCTAAGAACAACTTACTTCATCTTGATTTTTGCCTCTGTTCACTTTGTACTTGCTCACCTCCCAAATTTCAACTCCATTAGTGGTGTCTCTTTAGCTGCTGCCATCATGTCATTGAGGTAATAAACTAATAATAAATCATAAATCATTCCATTGATCAAAATTCATTATGAACTTATGGCAGTTATTCAACTATTGCTTGGGTGGCTTCATGGAAAACGGGAGCTCATGATGACGTGGACTATAGTGCAAGGTCAAAAACTCCTGTGGGACAAATGTTTGGGATGCTTAGTGCTTTGGGTGATGTGGGTAAACTAAAACTATTTATTTATTTTATTATTATTATTTTTTTTTGAAAATGAAAAATTATTACATTGTTGAATTGTAGGTGGGACGACAGCTGGCAATCGTTGGGGTGTTGTGATGTCGAGAAACTCTGGATACTCTGAACAGCTACTGTAATTCTGCCCAAAGTCATTTTCTACCCCCTCTGTTGCAATATTTTTTAAACATACTTTCAATTACCTCTATCATGTCTCTGTTAGTTCATTCTCCACCAATTACCTCTATCATATATGAATGTTTGTTTTCTTTTTTCCTTTTTTAGATATTCAATGATGAAATTACACTTGATAGTATCAGCAGGTTGAGCTTTCAACCTTTCTTGTATATGATTATAATATATGAATGCTTGTTTTCTTTTTTCCTTTTTTAACCCTGATGTGTTGATTAGGACTCGTTTAGTGAATATGTGTAAGCATATGGGAATCCAACCCTATGGGACAGATGCTTACTTGTCATACATGCTTCACAAAAGATTGAGATGATGAGCTTTGGTTCTTATTTAATACTAGTAATAATGTAGTTAAGTTACACTGGTTTACCATTTTATTACCATGTTTCAGTTTGTTACCAATTTGGTAAACTGAATAGTTGTAGTGTGGTTGCAATTACAATGAGAGTTTGGTTTGTAGGATAAAGAGTGATGATACGATGATTGAATCAGAGGGAAATGAATGTGAAGCTTCAAGGCATATCAAAACTGAAATTCTTGTTCAAATGCAGGTCATTTTAAAAAAAAAAAAAAAAATCCATTAATCTGTTACTAAACTACCCCTTAAAACTTAAAACACACTTGTTTTTATTATTTCAGGGTGTAGGACACAATGATGACAAAGTCCTAGTTCTCGCAGCCACAAAAACACCCTACAAGGGTATTTTAGTAAATAAACAAAACTCTTTTTCAATAGCTAATTGTTTCAGGCTATAAGGAGGTGATTTGATAAGGGTATTTTAGGACACATGATCAGGTCTTTTAGTAAATAAATATATAAACAACAATTCCCAGATAAGGGTATTTTAGTAAATAAACAAAACTCTTTTTCAATAACTAATTGTTTCAGGCTATAAGGAGGTGATTTGATAAGCGTATATACATTCCCCTCCCGAATATGAAAGCAAGACAGCACATGTTCAAAGTCATACGAGGGCAGATATGTAATTTTCTAAATATTTTATTATTCTAAAACCTTATTAATTTTTTATAGGTGCATTTAGGGGATACGCCTAATAACTTAACTGATAGTGACTTTGAAGCTTTGGGTCGTAAAACCTTATCATATTTTCAGTATGCAACATAGTTTTTTTTTTTTTCTCTCTTTAAGCCAGAATATGGAGTAAAGATGGTACATTTAATTAAACTACTTTTTTGCATTTTCAATATGGGTTTTTTAAAATAAAATTAATTAAGTTAGGTTTATTTATTTATTTAGGGGAGCTGGTCAGTACATTAACAAAACATAAGGGGCCAATATTCTCTTTAAAATGGAACAAGAAAGGAGACTATCTTTTAAGTGGCAGTGTAGACAAAACAACAATTGTTTGGGACATTAAGACTAGAGAATGGAAGCAACACTTTGAGTTTCATGCGGGTATTGTTTCTTTCTATTTGTTTTATAATTTTTACTTTTGTTTTAACTTATTTAGAAGTGTTTAATTTTTTTTTTACTGCATCTCCTACTCTTAATGTTGATTGGCGCAACAATGTCTCATTTGCAACTTGCTCAATGAAAACATGATTTAACCAATTTTATACAAGTATGGGTTGTACTGAAGCTTGGATTCTTGGAAAAAGGTATGTTACTCCATGTGTATTAAATTTTAATATTTTATAACAGAGATTGATGATGCTTGAAGCCTTTCTAAATACTAATGTGTTGATGATGAAAATAGGTATCATGTGGAACAGAAGCATAACAATAAGTAGAAACAAGGTGTTCCTTAATAGCAATGTAGTATTAGGTTATATAGCTAGGGAAAACCTCTTAATAACAATGTACTATCGAATTCCCTTAATACCAATATATTACAATTTTTTGACATGATGTTATGGATGAAATTGATTGTTTTGGTATATATTTGTTTCCATATTTTTGTATTATGCGTAAATGAGTATAGTAAAGACGCGTCGTAAATGTATATCGTAATTGGTTGCGGAAGTTTATGACACGCAAATGTGTTTCATCTTCATTTATGACAGGGGCTTTAATGATACACAATGTGTGTCCTAAACGTGCGTCGTAAGGTTACGATACACAAATGAGTGTCGTCTTCCTTTATGATAGGGGCTTCTTTGATACGCATTGCGTGTCGTAAAAGTGTGTCGTAAATGTGCATCGTAAATGCGCGTCGTCTATAGACGACGCGCAAAAGCGTGGCGTCTCTCGTTATGATAGGGCCTTCCTTGACATGCATTTACGCATCGTCTGAGTGTTTTACGACACGCATTGCACGTCGTAAAAGACTATTTTTCTAGTAGTGCCTGCTCCGAAACGTGTCACCACCATTCGGAAACAAAACACATAATCGTCAGGTTCATACATAATCTCGAAAGGTCTCACACACTCTACAAGTTCTCTGGTTCTATCTTAGCCCTCCTTGATTCGAGTACAGATCCTCTACTTTCGGTAGTATGGGCCCATACTACCTTCCACATCTATCCATACTTTCCTCAAGGATTGCCTTGACTTCACCAAGTCCCTTTCACTACTACTGATTGTTGCACTAATTTCATCCTAGGCTTACCCTAGGGTAACTCTCCAACCCACTCTCTATCATCAGCTGCGTAAGAAGTCCCTACTACCTTTACCTAACTAGCTCGTGAATACCATTACATATCCCTAAGACTAGATAATTCTTCGAATAAGAGGTCCTACTCTACAACAGTTAGACTCAAAAAAGTGCTGCGAAATAGGGCTAGACCTAACCTTCAGAAATTATTTAGTCCTCACAATATGTAACTTACATATTCATTTACTACTTAGTTAAAGATAACTAGATCTCCAAAAAGCACAAAGTAAGTAGCATTCAGGCATTGAGTAATCCGAACCAAGCATATCCTATTCAGGCCATCATATAACTAACTAATCAATTCTATCATGTAATTCAATAATCACATATAGCAGTCACATAAGGTATCTTCGTTGACCCTTAGCCCTAATCTAGCATGTAGTTTTCATACACATACAATAGGCATACAAGGCATCCTTCCTAGATCCTTAGCCCTAATCTAGCATGCAGTTCTCATAATCATATCATTTATCATAACATAACATGTATGGTTATCATGGGGAAGACTTACTTGAGCTCGGTCGATCGCACACATCACACACCTTGTTCTTTCTCAAAACTCTTTATTTTAATTTTTAGGAAAATTATCTTCTTGTAAAAATCTTTCAAACCCTCGGTTTGATTCCATACACCCCCGAAGGTGTGTCTAAATCCCTCAAACAAAGGCTCTAATACCAACTTGTAACATCCCAAAATTCTAGACCAAAACTTTCATTTTGATATAATGATTCACAAAACAATTTAAAGAAACACCAACAAGTTATTTAATACCATAATAACTATAGATCATATGTCTCTAAAGCATGTCATAATATAGCAACAATGTCAGAGTACAAATACCAAGAATCTTATATGCGGAAAATCGTATGTTTGATGTGTTGCTACCATGCCAGCTCCTTTCCATTCGCGGAAGAAGTACCTGAAACCAAAACTGAAAACCGTAAGCACAAAGCTTAGTGAGTTCCCTCATCATACCACATACCATACATAGCATATACTGTTTAACATATCTGGGTACTAGCTACTCCTTCAGTTTCTTTCAATCGGTAACTTTCCGAGCATATAAGGATGTCGCCCTACCCCTTCGGTCCTTTCGTCCGGTAAATTGTCTAGCATATTAGGGTTCTGGCCTACCCCTTCGCACCTGTCGACTATTACCTCGCCTAGCACATCAGGGTGCTAGCCTACCACTTAGGTCCTTTCGACTGGTACCGGGGACTATTTTACCCCTACTCTTACCACATAGCATTTTAGTGCATAAACATGTAAGTTATATAGTGCCTAGATTATCTGAGTGCTGGCATACCCATTCGGCCCTATCGACCGGTACTGGGGTCTATCCTACCCCTCCTACCACTATCACAAAGACAATCATCTCTAATATAACTCTACTAGTGGGTCGACATTGGTGCCTTCGACCCACTTCTACTGGAAGGTAACTCACCTCAATGTCGTAAAGTTGATGAACTATCCTTGGTGCTGGGATCAACTCCTCTCAAACTCCTACGCATAACAATCTCCTTTAAATACTCGCTCATACTCATAACCCCTTTAAGGGTCAACCCTGGTCAATGGTGAAAGTCAAAGTCAACATCATGGTCAAAGTCAACATCCTGGTTGACTTAACTCACCGAGTTGGTCCATCAACTCGTCGAGTTCCATAATCCATTACTCGTTGAGTTCCATGATTCATAAAACTATTAAACCCCCGATCCTAATCGTCGAGTTTTTTCATGAACTCGTCGAGTTTTTCCTTATAACGTAGTCGGGACCTTTTACTCATAACTCATCGAGTTTCTCCTTGAACTCGTCAAGTTCTCCTTCATACAGATTTGGTACATGTTTCTCATAACTCGTCGAGTTCCTCCTTTAACTCATTGAGTTCTCCTTCAATCTTCAAGCCCAAACATGTCCAACTCGCCAAGTCATCTCCTAGACTCAACGAGTTTACGCAGTAACAGAAAAGGTTGGGGGACCACGACCCAACTTGCAGAGTTGTATGAACAACTCGTCGAGTCCCCCATAGTCTTAATCCATACGGTTGTTTTTAGTAGGGCTTAATGCATCCAAAATATAGATCTAGTTCCTTAGGGTCGATATATCATGTAAAGTTTTTAACTTTACGTGCATGCATGGGTTATTTAGCTCAAAAAGCCCTAAAAAGTGGTTCATATGATGCATGGGACTCCCATGTCCATAAAGTTGGCACATTTATGCCATTGAGTCCCTCAAAGTCTGGGTCTAAAGTCATGACCCCAAAACATGCTTGCATCCAAGAATGGTTCCATAATATGCTCCATATAGCCCTAAACTATCCCATGAAGAGATCTAGTAAATGAATAGACAATGTATAGACTTAATACCTCAAATGCACCGGAAATGAAGTTCTTATTCTGGATTAAAGCTCATTCCTTCAACCAAACACTTCTAGCTTCCAATCCTATAAGGAAATACCAAAGAATCACTCTTTTTTCACTCACACACACTCACAAGGCTCAAGATCATGATTTAGGGTTTGTTGGACTAAGGGAGGAGATAAGGGAGGCTAGAAGGAGGTGTTCAGGTCTTTAAATAGGGTGCAAACCTGGAAATTGGTGTTTTACTTTGGCAGCCCTAGTCGTCGAGTCGAGGCTTATCGACTCGTCGAGTAGACTTCCAGTCCTGCATCCAAAAATCCCATTCCTACTTGACGAGTTTGGGGCTTCTAACTCGTCGAGTCCCTTTGCAAAAATAAATCATTCTTATTAAAATACATACCAGGAACCAGGCGTTACATCGAGGCCCAAATGACGCGAAGCCCAAATACAGTGAGTACGCGGGGCGTACTCCTCTGTATGCTAAGCGTACAACTTGCATGGCTTGTACGCTGTGCGTACGGGCTTGTATGCCCATCATACTACCTTGTTAAGTCATAATCTCCGAAAAGGCTTAATCCCTTAAGACCTTAAGCTTCAAACACATATCTGAGTTCAGTAAAGTGTTTTAACCCATAAAGTCTATTACTTGGTGGCTTGCAAACCAGCAAATGGACCCAAACTTGAAATAAGGAAACTAACTTTTATGGGTATGACTAAAACTCATGCATGGCCACAATAAGACCTTCAAGATAGAAACTTTTATGTTCTTGGGACTCATATAGAACTAAGGGTGGCAACCCTAAGCCTAGAAACGAATTTGGACCATAAAAATCGATTCTTAGGACCAAAAAGGTCCAAAATACAATTAACATAAATCTAAGCATACATGAGGCAAGTTGTGAGCTTTTTACCTCAAATGAGTGCTAAATGGTGATTCTATCTCAGATCCTTGAGCTTAAGTTGCTCAAGTTCTTCTTTACAAACTTCTTCTTTCTCTTTCCAAGCTTCAAACCACTAAAATGGACTTCCCAAGATCAAAATCACACAAGGATGAAAAGGGTTAGGTTCTAGGATTTCTGAGTCAATGTGGTGGGTAAGGAGCCTAGGGTTTGGGACATAATGGGGTATTTATATGGCTTAAACTCTAAAAATTA